GATAAAATTCATAGGCAATCAAAAATAAAATTAAAACATGGGATTAACATATTCACCTATCTCAAGCTATCAAGGAGACTATCTTGTGTTTATGTTCAAGGCCACCCGTGTACTCTCACACTAAAGTCGATCTACTTCTGCAACCTCCCTTCCTTCCTCATGCAGATAAAACATCAATTCCACTTTGAATTTAAAGCAAACAAGATCATTATGTTTGTGGAGAAGTCTGTAGCTTTGCTATTCTAGCAATCTGTGACCTATAAATAATGCAAGACCTGTTCCTACTCTAAGTGACTTTCTTACAGCAGGAGTCTTGATACATGGAGCACGGCGACCACAAAAGGAAAAAAAAAAAAAAAAAAAGAAGAAGAAGAAGAAGAAGAAAAGAAAGAAAGAAAATAGAAAAACAAAAAGGCTAAAGAAAAGTCACCCTGCAGCTATAGAATTTAATCTATTTGTTATTTCCCAATTGAATTTAGAATCATGTCTCTTCCCTCTTTTGTAACTGCCTCAAAAGCCAACTTTTGAACATTTGGCTGTTTTATTTATCAAAGCGAAGGTGAATCACAGGTAATCTGAAAAGTTCTCATGTTTTGCTTTAGAAGCAATGAAAGAAAAAAAAAAAGGTTGGTTTCTCTATGACCCCTGGCCTTTGAACCACAACCTTCTGCCACTAACGCGTTCGGCACTTCATTTAATCTCTCCTCTCTGCACTGGCACAGAGCTGTGAAAAGGAAACGGAAAAAATAATCTGGGGACTTCATCAATTTTTCATGAATTTTCATTTAGGCCAGAACCCCCTCTTCTCCTGGTCGATAGATCAAGCTGCTGTCATATATTTACCACCTGGGGCTACAGCTGCTATCTCCAGAGGCAGCTGGCTGTGCGCAGGCCCTGTGTTCCTCCTGCTCCCAGCCCAGGCACACTAACCCTGGACACCAGGGCTGAAAGCCTGTCTGTCCCAGCTCTGCCCTGCGCTCCTGGTGGCCCCATCTGAAAACTACACATTAACTTCTTGAGAGCCAGCTCTTTTGCTTATGGCCCCTTCAACTGCCTTCTACTCTTTACAAATCACTTCTTGCCTAAAGACCTTTCTTGAGTTTGAGTGATTTGAAAGCTTTCTCAACTACTGCTTTTTTCCAAAAACCCTCTCCAAATAAAAGGAAAGAAAAAGCAATAATGAAGTCATTCAAATCTCCACTGCAATCACTTATCCTCTACTGCACTGTGCCATTACATAAAGCTGAAATGAATATTAAACAAAAGGAAAATAAACATGCTAGAGAAAATCACATGCTGATTTCCTTACAACCATTCAAGTGGCTCGCAATCAAATTTCATATTTCATACTATAGCAAAATCCAAAATTTCTGTAACTGCAATAAAAAGCAAAGTGAAACAAAGGGAGTCAAACACATTACTTTAAAAATCAGTAGTCATTCCACAATAAACAGTTTTGATAAGCTTATTAGTTATACTATATAGTCAAGGCTGGTCTCGAACTTGTGACAATCCTCCTGCTTCAGCCTCCTGAATGCTGGAGTTACAGAAGTGTATCACCATACCCAGCTTGGTTACATTCTTGACAACCTAGATACAACTAAATCAGTGGCTCTTATCTACTTGTACCTCAGGGATATTTTACAGCATTTGTAGCAGATATTTTTGGTTGACACAATGGGCTTGGAAGGAACTCCTACTGAGATATTATGCGCATAAGCCAAAGATGCTTCCAAACAACCCTATTCGACAAAGTCACCTGATCCCAAATAACAATGATGTAGATGTTGAGATAGTTGCTCTGGTTTCCGCACACCCAGCTGAGAGATACATTCGTGAAAGTACAGACATGACCTGCCACTCCAATTCCACCACCTGCATTTTCTCACCTGCTGTGCCCTCCATCCATTGCGGGAGTCCACAGCTACCTTCTGTTTGACAATAACATCCTATTGACACAGTGCCAGTCATTTCTTCTTTCTTAAAAGTCCTGGTTTTTTGTCATTTCATTGCCCACATCCTCTCCTTCTAAAGTCTTCTGAGCCTGAACTTCTGTCATGGGGCTCCTTCCTTAGGTCACTATTAAATATTGGTGTTCCAAGCAAAGATGTCAGGGCTCATTAACTGCTCCCTACAAACAGCTGGCCTTGGACAATCATCTCTGCTTTTGCCTGCTCCTAGGGCCTCCATCTCTATTGGGAAAGATACCTCTCAATGCCAGAGACTCTTTTTTTTTTTTTTTTAATAGAAATGAGATTTTCTGCCCTAATATCTCATGTGTGTATCAGATAATAAGCCAAACTGACCATACGCTCTTGTTTCCACTAGTCTTATACATCTGAGAATCACACTCTATGTCCCAAATTGACCATAGTCATATAATTTATAGATCCTAAATATAATTTGAGCCATTTCCAATACATAAGACAAGATCACAATACGTAGTAAGTCAAGACTAATAGATATGAAAAGATCACAAAGCTTAGTACTAAATTTCCGTGGTAATATGTTTCATGAAAGACATAGAAAAGAAAAGACTGATGAGGTAATGGAAAAAGATGAGCAACATACAAATGAATATTATTTGATCTTGTGCTGCCTCAAATGGCATGAACTGTTGACATGGCATTAGAAGAAAGCATTTTATTCACTAGCTAAATCCAATTTGGAAGACTTCTTATTTTCCTCTCTAGATCATAAGTAATTCAAACATTTCTTAAAGCTAATTTATTTGAAAATGAAAAAGGCTACTGTCACATTACATGAAAAAGAATCGTGGCTTAAATTTTTACCTCTAAAATACTTTGATTCATTATTAATGACACAATTAGTAAAGACAGTAATCCCATTAGGTGGAATAAAAGTAAAAGATGCATATGTGTTGGGAGCAATTTTAACAAAGCTCAAACTTAGAGAAAAATGTTTGTAAGTGATTGACCAATTTAAGTAACTTTAATTTGAGGAAGCAAAATTAGCAATTATTTAATGTTAAGTATAAAAAAGAAAAAATTATGAAAATAAAAAAAGCTTCATTTACTTAGAATAGGCCAGTTTTCATATAGTGTTTCTTCTAATAACATCAAAAATTAGAAGTCTTGGTTGGGGATAAAGTTTAGCAGGACAAGTACCTCCTAATAATTGTGAGGTTTGTGAGCTCAATCCTCAGGACCGAAAAAAAAAAAAGGAAGGCTTATGGTCTGCTCTTGGATTCTCACTAACTTATTGTCTGCATACTGGTTATTTAGCATCATGGGTTTCATTTTCTCATACTTTCTTATCTATCAAATGGAAGAATAATTTGTCATATTACATAAAGGAAATGGTAGGATGAAAGTCAGTAGAATTTGCCATGGAAATGTGTAATAATGTTTGAACAAAATTCCAGAAATAAAATATTTTACGTTAAAAGTGGAAATGCTAGAATATTTGCATTCTTGATATTTTGTTTATATAGTTCAAAAATCAATAAATTGAATGTATTCTCATTTGTTTTTTGAAGTATTTTTATTTAAAAAAGGAAAGACCTGATCCCCAGTACAAAATGGCTTTGCTCTTTAGGGTTCTGTTATTTATATATCTTGAAGTTGTTCTCATAAAAAAATTGGAGTCTAAGAATTTTTTAACCATTGGAGCTATACACTTCAAGCACCCATGGGCTCCAGGGCTGTTCTGGTAAAAACTATCCATCAGAAGATTGGATGCAGAATGGCAGCTTTTACTGGGATAACTGACTAAAAATGACAAGACACTTATATATGACAAGACACTTTCATATATAAAGGCAAGGACATATTTTTCAGAATTTCAGTAGTGAAATTCATGCTGAGTAACCTAGTAAGAAATCCTGTACCATGTGATTAAAGTACCAACTTTTATTAACGTTAAGATACCAAGTACCATTACGTAGCACCCTGCTCCCAGTATTACATAGACATATGCTTCTGGAATACCTCAATTACACTTCTCTATGAAAACCTACACTATGATCAGAAAGTTGAAAAGTACAAACTTTGCCATCTTATTGACAATTCATTTTACATAAAAGATTTCCTCAAGGTAAATAATCAAAATTATACATCACTGATTAAATTACAACTACAAATCCTTAGCTGTAAGTCAAAGTAGTATAATATATTAATTTGTTTCATAAAACAATGTATGAAGTCAATGGATCTATTCAATGTGCTAAACAAACATAAAGCATTGGTAATTTGCTAATTGGTGCACACTGTAAGTATACATGTACAACAAACAAAAGCAAGAAAATCACCAAAAACGCCAAAAGCAGGGCAAATCCTTCGCTAATGTTATTGATCAAAATTAAATAGAAATGGGAGATAGTCTCATATGTGGACACTTTGTCCCTACAGAATGATGAATTTGAATACAAAAACTAAATTACAATTGCTGCTATTGTTGGTGTATTTCCCTTTCCACAGTAGAATAATGATTCCTGAATTCAGCCTGGAACTAAAAGAGTTAAAATAATCTAGAGATAAGAACATACATACCTCTAAAAATTTATAAAATATTTACAAATCACATGTAAATATAAATTATATAATGTGCAATTTTATAGTTATATTTATATAGAAACTATTATATATAATGTGCCATATCTATGGTTTTATGAATACAGTATATGTGACATATAGAATGTATGCCTTGTATTTGATGCCATGTTACATATAAATGTATCATTTTAACATAAATAACTTTAATACTTGAGTATATCACTCACTAATAATTGAAATTTTAAATATGATCTCCATCCTTTATTCCTGCTTTGCTTCAGTACAACATAATCCCCGTGTTGATTTTAAATAAACACATTAGTTGCAGCGCCTAGACTATTATTTTAATCAGATTTCTTTGGAAAAATCAAAGTAAAATTATAAAGTGTGTTGTTTTATTCTTTAAATATTAATACGTATGAGAGAAAGTGCAAAATTTAGTGAAAAGAAATAAAAGTGCACACACGAAAAGCCTTTGTTACTTACATGCCACTTCCAGAGAAGCATTTCGACTCACTGCTTCACCAAGATAGTTCCTGGCAACACAAACGTAGCTGCCTTCGTCAGGTTTACTTCGGCGCCCGTGCACAATGCGCAGGAAGAATAAGGATCCGCTGGGCAGGAGCATCCTGTGGGACCGGGGGTCGTCCTTGTCGGTCTCCACCCGCTCTCCATCCTTGTACCACTCAATGGTGGGCGTGGGCCGGCCCTCCGCCTTACAGTTCAGGGTGGTGGGCTCGCCCTTCGAGACAATCACATCCGAAGGGTGCTCCACAATCCGTGGGGGAAAGTCTTCCTGGCGAAGCCGAGATCCTAAGATACAGGGCAGAATGAAGACCAGCTTTAGCATTTTCTTCTCTGTAGTTTGTTGCACTTAGATTCATGTTTATGGCTTTAAATTTTTCAGTTATTTCACTGAAACGAGTAACTGAAAGCTCTTGCATTCGTTGTTTACCCTCTTTTATTTTTTTGTGCAACTCGTAAGGTTTTCCCAATTCTTTTTGTAGGATAAAGCAATGTTATGTCAATTCTAATTGAGTGAGGTCTATCATATTCCATAAATTATAACAAGCAGACAGGGCTAGAAATTTTCAGAGAGAACAACATTTTAAAATAAGGACTAAAATGAACAAGATTAAGTGTCCTCAAAATGTTTATTATTTGTTCAGAAAGAAAACCAAGGGAAAAAAAAAGAAAGGAAGAAAGTCAAATAAGCAGATACTTAGGAGACACACAGATACCATTCACTGCACTGATGCTGTTGGTCAGAGACAATGGCTTATTATGGACAATATTGTCTTCATTTAACAGATGTGGAAAATACTTTAAAAATACTATCAATTTCCCAGGAATGTATATTAAATAATCAGAAATAGCATTTAAACTCAGGTGTCTTTGACTAAGGAACTCAAGTATAAATCCTTTTGTTAAAACGAAGCAAGGGCTATGTAGTATTACAACAAATGCATTATAGGGAAAAAGAAACAAACGTCAACCGGAGATGGAAAGTGATAAAAGACCTCTTCCCAAATGGCAGCATTGCAATTGATCAGTAAAGATGAAAATGCCTCAACCAAAGGAGCAAACAATCCGATTAAAGGAATTTCATGCAAGGGAAAGGAAAAGGGAAATGGGAAGATACATGCACTGGATTTCACACTCAGGAGGGAAGTTCATGGCCTTTAAATGTAGTCTTGGAGTCTGAGACTAAAGGCATTTAATATAGGTATTGTTTTTAACCCTTTCAGGAAAGATAAAACTCGAACCATGGGTAGGGAAATGGAGGCACACTGAGACAAGACTATTAAGTGAAATAAATCAGTTTTGTTCTTCAAGTCTCCAAGTGATAAAAGCTTGGTGCCGAATGTGGCAGTACTTAAGATTGTAGGTATCTGAGGGCTCAGGTTTACAGGAAGGAGGTTAGGTTACTGTGGGTGTAATCCTTGGGAGAGGTTATTGCTGGTCTTGTAGAATAATTTCTTACGAGAAAGGGTGAGTTGAAATGAAGCGAATGGCCTTTAACGTCTCTGGTTTCCTGACTTGCCCTGTGATTTCTTCTTACATGTGCTCTCACCATGATGCCATCTGCCATGTTGTGATGTGACAAAAGTCCTGCACAGGGCCAGCAGATTGTAGTGTCACGCTCTTCACTTTCAAAATTGTAAACTAAATAAATCTTTTGTTTCAGACAGTAACTCTCATTTTATAAAGTACTAAGCATCAGGTATTTTGTTACAGTAACAGAGAATATACTAATATAGTACCACTAACTTCCTTGTGGTTATATAATTAATATGAAATAAAGGCAGAGTGCCTTGTTGGCAATTTAAGATCAACTCTGTTGTGCTGCTTTGGATAAGAATAAGTAATCATCATTTGTAGAAATGTCTTATCATCTCCTATGAATTAATCAAAAGAAGATTCTAAAAGTAATAAGCATGTCTACTGACATGAGGACATATGTAAGAACTCCTTAAGTTTCCTGCTATAATTTTCCATCCAATAACCCAATATTAGCACGTTTCTGCTTAATAACAATAAGAAAAATTTATTCCTCACTGTAATTCCAGTTCACTTTCAATACTAATGAAAAATGCATAATTTAATAAAGGGAATTTAATTTGGTCATGAGCAAACCTTTTATTTTCTGAAATAATTAACTTTAAAGGTTGATGACTGCCATTTTTATCCATCAGGTCCAAAAAAAGAACATTTGTATTACAAGTGTTAGGTACCTATAGCAAAAAAATAATTTGCAGCACACAGGTAAGAACTGTAAGACAGAATTAAAGTGTACCCAGGCATATAGGTATGTGCACTACAATGCTAAGTGATATACCGTAAGTAGCCAGTCTTCTAGACAAATTAAAAATTTGAAGAATCAAAAAAGGTAACAATTATTTTTCAAAATATTTTGAAATATTTAAATAAGTATGGCTGAACACAATTTGCAAATTTGTTATTCAGTCTTAAATGTAATGGTCTGAATACAAGGTTATAGCATCTAACTGTAAAAGCACATTAATAGTATTATGTTATTCTTCATTTAACAGAAAGCATAGAAGGATACATTGACCTTGCTTAAATATCTTTCTTGTTTTCCTCTAGTCTTCTATATACAACATTTACATTCTCCCCACTGCGAATATTGCAGTATTATTAATTCTAGTCTTCTTATCTCTAGAGTACTATTTTTATATCAAATAGTCCCCTAACTTACAAGTTAGTGGTTCTGGATACTCTCTATACAAGATATGAAATATAACTATATTTATTAAATAAAATCTAAAATAAGGAATGAATTAGAGGTGATGGCAAAGTAAAAATTTATTCTTAATGGGGATGTGCTTCTTTAGAGAGTAATCCAAATACTCTAAAATTGAGTATGATAATGGCTGCACAACTCTATGAATATAATAAGATCATAATATTGTATTTTAAATGGGTAAATTTTATAGTATATGAATTGTATTTCAGTAAAGCCATTTTAATAAATAAGTAAATAGAATTATTGAAAATGTTTTAATGCAAAGTATGAACAATTTTTGATCACTTTGAACATCAAGAGGTTATCTTTTGCATTTATAATTTCAAACCATAATGCAATTATTGGGCTGCAACAGCTAATTAGAGCATAAACTAAAGTTGAAGGGTGTCATGAGAAAGAGGGAAAAATCAGAAAGACAGATATACACATACATACATAAATGAATCTGCAATTTAAATTTTTAACATGTTACTAAAAGCATTGGAATAAATTCTGAATTCTCTTAAATTCAGATATTACACAGCTACAGTATGGTCCCTCTGATGGAACCAGTGGACATAGCATATGCAAGCCATGAATTCTTTGTAACTGTGTGAAAAATGAGACTGCTGGCTGGGGGAGTGTGGTGCTGGTGGCAGCAGGTCAGTGGGTGGCATATATTTGACTAAATTTTCAAAGACAAAAGTTTGAGCCTTTAAAATTATCGAGGACTACCAAGTTACTAGCTATTCTGCTTGTATTATGTAGACAAAATACTCAATTATTTGGTTAACAAACAAGCAAAAGTAGAATTTACAGTTTTTTGAGAAATTTCTGCATTGATTTCTATGATGGCTATTCTAATTTTCTGTTTGATTAAGGCACATCTTCTGGTACCTTCCCAAAAGTGTTAAAACTCATTGTATTGTACTGATGCATGCATATCTATGTTTACAGCAGTGCAATTCACAGTAACTAAATTATTAAAGTGACTTATAGCCCCTCAATAGAATGGATAAAGAAAGTGTATTCTATACACAGTGGGTCTATTCCATCATGAAGGATAATAAATTTAAGTCACTTTTAGAAAAATAGATGTATTTTAAGACTATAAAGCTAAATGAAATAATTATACCAATAACTAAATATCATGGGTTTACTCTAATAAAAGAAACCCAAATAAAATAATTTAAGGATCAAAATGAAAAAGAAATGGCAGAAATAAGGGAAACAGATTCTGTGGAGACAGAAAAAGAATCTGGTTAAGAAAGGAGATGGGTAGAAGAAGGAGCAAAAAGGAAAATGAGAAGGATCAATATGTGATAGATATGTGCCAATTCCCCCAGACAACTGGGATTACATGTATCACAAATATAATTAATCACTTTAAGGAAGAAAGAAGGGGAGCAAAAGAAAGAAAAGAAAGGAAGGAAGGAAGGAAGGAAGGAAGGAAGGAAGGAAGGAAGGAAGGAAGAAAGAAAGAAAGAAAGAAAGAAAGAAAGAAAGAAAGAAAGAAAAGAAAGAAAGAAAAAATGAAAGAAAGAAAGAAAGAAAGAAAGAAAGAAAGAAAGAAAGAAAGAAAGAAAGAAAGAAAGAAAGAAAGAAAGAAAGAAAAGGAAAGGCAGGCAGGAAGACAGGAAGGCAAGAAGGTAGGCAGGCTGAATTGTCAGCCTGATTGGGAATTCCAAACCAAACAATAGTGGGGGATGTTTATCACCTGAGAATCCATAAAACTATTTAATTTCAAGAGTCTTTACATCCAAAGCATGATCCCCAATTAGCAATGCAGACATCTCCTGAAGACATTTTTAAAAAATAGAAACCCAGTCTCCAGCCCAAACCTTTGAAAGCGAACTCTTTGTTTTCATAAGTTCTTCTTCTCTGGGGATTAGTATAAATTTCAAAGTTTGGGCCAGCATGAATTAATCAGTTTTTACATATCCTTAAGACACTTCATAGCTTTAATCTGCTGTACAAAGATAGAGAGAAAGACGTAAAGGAGCAAGAAAAAGAAAATGAAGGAGAATAAGGATGAAGAAGGGGGAGGAAGAAGGCCAGTGTGTTGCACTCCTGAGGTTGATACTAATTATCTGGTTATAATAGGAAGAGTTTGCTGACCTTGCTCCAGACTATATATTTTTCAGTTTCTATTAATAAATTCATTCGTACACTTCTATTTCTTTGATAAAGGACCACACAACTATCTTTTTGTATGTCAAATCAATTACTTGGATGATAATATTAACATTGCACATATAATGTGAAATACTCAAAAATCTCTAAAAAAGAAATAGCAGAGCTGTAAAACAGAAAAACTGTTTACAATCCTAACATTACTTGCAGGTAACATCAAATCTGACATCTCTTTGATATCCCAATTATTAAATGGGTAATAACATTTTATTTGACTCTCACTAGGTATGATTTTATATACCTAATAAATGCAAAGTAGTCTAAGGAATCTAAAGAAGACATGAAAAAGTTTATTTTTAATATCTAAGAGTGTAAGCTGCAAAACAGTCATATGACATTATAGGCAGAATAAGAACTCAAGACCCTTCATCCAGAATGAGTGCGGTTCTTCAAAACTGGACAGAGGAGCAAGAAAAGAACGCCCATCGGGTCTAATTCCCGATGTTTAATTCCAAAACCTTCCAATAAAATGAATCACCTGAACGTTAATGCTCATAATTTTACCAGAAAATGCATTTCTTGTTTTTAAGTAGGATTCTCAGAAAACCTGCATTAAGAATCATCTGGAATTTTTAAAATATAAAACAGTTTTCAAATTTGTATGCCATCCTTGCCAAGGCCCCAGACTAATCTTTGTGTTGTTCCAATTTTAGTATATGTTCTGCCAACTCACGCACTTGGATATTTCTTAAAAATGCAAATTGATGATCTGTATAGTGAACAGGATGCATCAGAACTTCCAGTGAAAGAAGCCAAGCAGCTGCCATGGTTACCAAGACAAGATCACACAGGGAAGGACACAGAGATGCAAAACTTCCACAGCAGAACCAACCACCTGGATGCAGATGATCTGGGAATAATGTTCGAAGTATCCGAATTTACATAAGGTTTATGTTTGTTTTTCAGAGACTCAAACAATGGCGCTATAATCATTTTAATAAAATATTTAATTTTTGAAAGTTTGAGTGGTTTACTAGTTCTTCAGTTGTTCTAATGTGAAGTATAAATTGTAACTTATGAATACAGTCAAACTTAGTTTTAGTGAGTCAAGTACTTATCTGCAGTGAGTTCCAAAAAATCTTTTATTTTTAGAAATTGATCTCCATTACGTAATACAGTATGCTAAAGAAGGATATGGCATAAAATTTCCCCTAATTGTACCTTGAGTAACTATTTAATGATAACAACACATAATGTATTTAATGTTGTTATTCTCCTATTATTTTCTTATGAAACTGTTTTATCTTTTTCCACAAACATAAATAAACACAGGGGGCTTGGGGATTTAGCTTAGCGGCATAAGCAGCACCTGCCTTGCAAGCAGGCAGTTGTGAGTTCGATCCCCGGTACCGATAAAATAAATAAATAAATAAACAAATAAACACATAAATAAATAAAAGGAAGAAAGAAAGTAAGGAAAAGAGGAATTAAGGAAGGAAAGAAGGGAGGAAGGATAAAGGGAGGATGACTTGTGGGTTTTATCTCATGTACTTTCAAGTAAAACGCCCTTGCCTCATTATTCAGTTGGAACACAGAATTTTCTAGAACCAAATTTCCGTTTTTATTAATCAGTTAGACACTTCTATCAACTATTAGTCTATGTATAAATGAAGAAATGCATTTTGATTTTACTAAGCAAAAATATTCATGACAAATTAAGGGCCGAGAAAAACATTTTTTCCAGCAAAATTTTCTATGCATTTTGTCTCCTTAAAAATGTAATGATTTGACCAGTTTCATAAAAACAACATTTGCTTTAACGACATATTTCCCCAAAAAGACTATACTGGTAAAATTAATCCATGAAATTTTTGTACAAATACTACAATTTGGAAAGATACATCTCCTGATATTATTCCCATCTCAGTTTTCAACTACAGCAATACTACATGAAAATGTGAGAGATTCCTTAAGCAGCCTCAGGAACCACTGTGTCCAAAATGAAAACATAAGTTATTTTGTGGATACTATTTTCTTTTATTTTCCTCACTTCTATAAGACTGAAGTCAAATACAACCATCTCACCAGCTGGCATACAAGATTAAAATAGATACATAGATAGATAGATAATAGACCATTTGAGCAATAGATCAACAGGATAAGTAGTAAACATGCAGTCTTTCTAAAAATTATTCCTTCTATAACACCTACAAATATTCTTTCCAATTTTTGCCCATACAACACTAATTACAATGATAAGACTTTCTCTTTTCTAAACAGTATTTTTACTTAAAGTTTGACCTCGTGGCAGATATATTTCACTGAACCAGGACAATAATGTTACTCTAGATTTGAAAAGAATTCAAAGTTTTTACTTATTCCTCTTTTATTGAACAAATTTTATTTAAAATTTCCTTCAATGAAAGAAACATATCTCAATGTCATTTAATATGCTGTCTACATGGATAACTGAAAAAAAAAATTGTAATGAAATGAATTTAATGAATCACTCCCTAACTCAATCAAATCATTACCACTTTTGAAACTCTGAAAGTTCAGGACAACTGAATTCCAGGGCACCTCTCTGGTGAGGGAGAAAGAAATAGGGAAGGCCTTTGTGGTAATTTTTTTCTAAAGGTCCTATTAAGTAATAAGATTTGGTAATAAGATCAGTTTGGGAGAAACACAAAATCTTCTATATATTTGAATATTACTTAAATTCTCTCATTGATGGTCTTAATTTGCTATGGCCTAAATAAATATCTAAAGTGGTCATTTCTTCTGGAAGCACAGCATTGTCACATTTAATGAAAATAAGTTTCAATAGAAATAGCATCAAAATTGAGACCTATAAATGCTACTTTTCTATTTCCTAGAACTAAAGACTTGTGTGTATGTAGGGAAAGCAATTGACAAAGAAAAACAGATTTATTTATCAGAAACACTGATTCTGAATGTTCTTGGTTATACATTATGGAATCCAACAGATTCACATAACCTCATTTTCTGGAAAACTAGGCATAAAAATTAGCTGACATGGAAACTTTTCTTTCAACTTTCTATCCTACAAAATGAGGAGGAAAAAAAAAAAGTATAATGACCAGAGTTTCTTTAAAGAAATCTGGGAACAGGACACTTGTCTTTTTTAGCTATGAATGTGCTATTAACTCAAGTTCTATTTCTGAATGGCATTTCCCCATATAATACCTCTTCTTCTTACCTATATTTTAAAGTTCTAAAACAGAAATTTGCAAGTACTAAGTTTTAGTCATCTCTGTTTTTGCCTGTTTTTTTGTTTTAATGTTAATTGGTGACTACTGTATGATTATTACTATGACCTTAATTAGCTACCTAACCTATATTATGGTATACTTTCCTCACCTCAAATCCCAAATAACTGAAATAATAAACTGTTTCAAATCCACTGTCCAGTAGCTTAGTCTCTCATTTTGCGGCTGCCACATCAATGATATCTTAATGGACAGATATAAAAGAGAATGAAGAGCAGCAATTTAAATTTATGAACACAAAGCAAAGTTTTAAAGACATATACTTTAAACTAATGCTCATACTTATAATAAAAAGCATAGGAAGTGCTGGCCTTTGCAGGGCTTCTGCCTGCCCTCTGAGTCTGTGAGCATAATGTGGCACATGCTTGTATTCCAGTTACTGGGAAGGCTGATAAGCATGGATCCCTTCAGCCTGGGACCTGGAGGTCACCCTGTGTAACATAGTGACACCCAGTCGCCAAAATAAAACACATCCCCCTAAAATATGCATATCAGAAACATGTCTTCTGCAAGAATCATCCAAAGATAAACAATGATGTAAAAGAGTTTTAGAAAAATTAGAAAAATTAGGTAATGATTTAAATTTAGAAACTAATTGTCATGGAATTTAATGGTAACAAATGCATGATTCTATCAATCATGTCAACCAAAGACCAACTGACAATATATTGACAGTTACCTTAAAAAGTAAATATTTAATGATTTAAAAAAAAAAACCTTTAGTAAATATCATCAAATTTTCTTCCTTTCATGGGGAATGGATTGCTGTTTCAAAAGAAGGTACAAGGCAGATGCATAAAACTATTTTTCTCTGAATTTCAAAACTACTTGAATCCTTATCTACTATTTATAGAAATTACTCAAAATTTTAAAACTGAACACCTTTCTCTCTTTTTATCTCCATTACCCCATGCTTTGTAGTACCTTTATTGGATTAAGTTTAATGGAATTTTAGAACATTATATTTTCTGGCTGCCCACACCCACGGCACTGAGCCACTGACCTTGCCTGAACAGCTGGACACCATGGCAAAGAGAGGCCAAACATCTGTGAAAGATGCAAAACTGGTGTGTGCACATTACCATCAGGAACTAAAGGCAATGGATTTCAGGAGTGGACGCAAAACAATGTCTCTATAACTCTGAAGGGAAATTTTTTTAATCAGGAATCTGAAAGGTTTCCAGGAAAATGTTAGGGGTGATAGTCCTCCTGAGAAAAAAACTCATTTCCTACTTTATAAATTCATTTTTCCAATAATTCAGTGAGGAGGTGATATATTAACCTGGACACTCACCCACTGCTATATCAAATCAATTTGTTACATTTTACATGGATGAAGGCACTGCTTTAAAGTGTGATTTGCCACCAAATTAGAGGTTTTCATGGGTTATGTAGATTTGCCTTCCAATAATAAAAATAATCCCTGTTCCAGAAAAGATATCTTTGAAATGCAGCTTCTTATCACCATATCTATCATATTTTGATATGGCTTATAACTGCATTTGACAAAATATGAAGCAATAAAATGACTGTGAAGTTCATTAAAATTTTAAATAATGCTTAAGTTTGTAAAAACCACTGATATAATTTTATGAAAACTGTGAACAAGACTGTAAGAAATGGCATGCCAGTTAAACAAATTTCTAATGTACTGATAACATTTTAACTGTTTTATTTCCTAAGTAATGAATTATGAAAATTCTGTATCAGTCAAATTAACCTTAACTGCAATGACTGGAAAACACCATTCCTAGAACTCCTAACATTTTAATACCTGCATGATAACCTTTGTTAAAATATTTATTTTTGAGTACATTTGACTGGAAGGAACTCTTGACCTATCTTCCTCAAACTTAAAACCTTTCACTATAAAGTCAAATTGAGACTCAGTGATCTTGGATAAAAATATAGGCAACCTTCTTTTACTGGATTATACATTAAGGATTTTCAAATTCAGCATTAAAAGTATTAGCACAGTCCAGATAGTTCCTTAAGAGAAAAATAGCTAAATCACTACCAAAAAGTATAGCTGCCATAAGTCAAATGTACAGCTGCCACTCATCCAACTAATGCTCATAGAAACTGATTTTAAGCTCGCTCCCTCCCAGCCAGCATTCTCTATTAAAGAAGTTGGCCTAATGTGTGAAAGTTGGGCTAGTTGCATTACTCCAGTATCTTCTTAAATACGACTATAAACCTTGGATTGCCTTTTATGGAATATAAGTAAGGCATACTAACTCAGGAATTGGATGCATGGGCATGAACACACCTTTTTGAAAACTTGTAAGACATATCTTTAGCCTAACTGCAAATTGTCCATAGATAGGCATGATATGAAATTTCTCTTATTCAACTACTAGACAGAATACTAAATCAATAACATCACCAAGTGGATAAATCATGTTTTCCATGTGTTAAGTACAAACTAAACACTCAGTTAATGTTTG